AGGGAGAAACCAGCAGCTCCCTTTTTTCAAAAAGGAAGAACCTTAGAAACATAGAAGGGCCTGGGATATAGCTCAGTGGTGCTGTGCCTGCCTGGCAAGCTCGGCTCTGAGTTCAATTCCTGGTACTGAAAAAAAAAAAAGAAACCTAGAGCAGGGGTCCTGTAGAACTGGAACTCAAACTGAGAAAGAATGGAAGCAATAAAGATAGGCAGAAAGAAGACAAAGAAATTAATTGTAATTTTTAAATTATACTTTCAAGAAAACTGCAATTTTGCAGGGCATGGTGACAAACACTTGTTATCCCAGCACTCATGAGGCTGAGACAGGAGTATCACCACAAATTCGAGGCCAGCCTGGACTACATAGGGAGACAGCCAAAAAAAAAACAAAAAAGAAAAGATAATAATAAAAAAAAGAAAACTGCAGCCACCAGACATGGTGGTGCAGCCTGTAATCTCCACACTCTGGGAGGCTGAGGCAGGAGGATCACAAGTACAAGCCCAGTCTGAGAAATTTAATTTAGTGACTTGGTGAGACCTTGTCTCAAAATTTTAAAAATTTATGGGCTGGGGATTTAACACCTTGCAAGCTCAGGGACCTGAGTTTGATCCCCAGTACTGCCAAAATAATAACAACAACAACAACAATAATAATAATAATAATAATAATAATAATAATAATAATAATAAATTTTTAAAGGGCTGGGAATGTAGCTCAGTGTGACCCCCTAGGTTTAATCCCCAGTACCACAAAAATAAACAATTAAATCACACTGCAGCCTTAAAACACAGTTAAAATTACCAAGATTACAATGCCTTTTTCATCCCAGGTCTGTTTTTCTTTCAGGCTCTTCACTTCTAAATTCTGATGATTGCGGGGTGTGGTGGCGCACGCCTGTAATCCCAGCACTCAGGAGGCTGAGGCAGGAGGATCACCATGACTTCGAGACCAGCCTGGGCTACATAGTGAGTTCCAGGTCAGTCTCAACTACATAGTGAGACTCTGTCTTAAAAAAAAAACTAAATTCTGACGATTTTCCTCTTTTGTTGTTTTTGTTGTTGTTTGAGACAGTCTCGCTATGTAGTTCATGCTAGTCCTGAACTCACTACAGAGTCCAGACTGGCCTTGAATTCTCAGTGATCATCCTGCCTCAGCCTCCTGAGCGCTGGGATTACAGATGTGCACCAGCAAGCCCGGCTGAAGCGTTTGTCAACAGAACCCCTCTCCTCAGTCAGACTGTCCACGCAGACGATGCTCAGTTCCCCACAGACAGAGCATCAGAGTCACGCAGAGGAGCTCACTTCTCAGCCGCGCCTGCGCAGGAGCCACGTGAGTGAGGCTGGGTCCCATTCGGGTCGCTGAGCTCCCAGCGTCACCAGTCCAGTCCCAATGACCAATGCCTGGGTGCAGGACGGAGCTGCCAGCTTTCCCGCCGTCCTCCATCCGAACCCCAGTTCCGTCCAAACCCCTCAGATGTGCAGGGGTTTCTGAGCTTCCTCCTTGCCTTTCCAAGTGTCTATCTGCAAACTTCTTTCTGAGGTGCCTTCCCTCAGCTCTGCCAAACATCTTGGCTTTTGCTTTCTTTTTAAAACCATAATAATTTTTAGTAGGCAATACATGTCACAGATATAAAAAGAGCCAGAAAACATACACACCAAATACTTGACAGCGTTAGATCCAAATTGGCTTTTTCTTAAAAAGGCGGGACCTTCTTTTTCTTCTCTCTGGCTTGTGGTGGGTTCTGAATTGTTGGCCTCTGCAGACGCCACCATGGCACAAGGTCTCACTATATAGCCCTGGAATTCTCAGAGATCTTCCTGCCTCAGCCTCTGCAGTGCTGGGATGACAGGCAAGCACCACCGTGCCCGGCAAGAATCTGTGCTTCTAACAGGTGCCAAGTGCTGTTCACACAGCAGCTACAGCAATCACACTTTGAGGATGGCGTCCCGACTGAAACCCAGCAGAGCAGAGTTTTGTGCTTTATCAGTGTCGAGAAGCTCATATTTTGGATGCCGACACCTACAACTCTCCGGTTGGTCTAGAAAATTGTCTAAGCTCCTCATGGTGCCCTCTTTGGAAGCCTGTGTGTCAGTCAGCTTTCTGTTAACTGTATCAAACAGGAGACAGTTATTTATAAGTATGCTATTTCCGCTCCCAGGGAGTGTTTCCAGTCTACTCCACTGGCCCGGGTGCTTCTCTGCTTGTGGCAAAGAAACAACAGGGCTAGAGCCAGTGGGGAAAGCTGCTCCCCCCTGGCGAGGATGGGAGGAAGAGAGCCAGGGGCCAGGCTACTGCTGTCCTCTTCCAGGGCACAGCCCCGTGGCCTGAAGAGCCCAGCTGGACCCCGCCGCGATCTTAGCGCACTCGTGGTGAGGGATTGATATGCGCAAGACTCACCTTAACTCTTTGTTTATCCCCTTCCCCTCCTCCACCCCTCTCCCCCAGCTCTTGGTCCCCTTCACTTTTGCAAAAAATCAATTTCCCTGCTTCCTATGATCTATCTTTTTGCTCTTTATATATTTTGGGTTTCTCATAAAAGAACAATCAAGCCATACTTAAGCTTATGTGCCTGATTTATTTCACTTAACATAATGGTCTCAGGGTGCACCTGTTTTCCTACACATGACTCGAGCTTATCCTTCTTCACGGCAGAGTAGTACTCCTTTGTACATAAATACCACATTTTCTTTATCCATTCGTCTGTTGATGGACACACAGGCAGATTCCAAGATTTAGCTATTATGGGCTGGGGATTTAGCTCAGTGGTTCCGCCACCTGCCTCAAAAGTGCAAGGGCCCAATTTCAATCCCAGGTACCAAAAAAAAAAAAAAAAAAAAAAAAAAAAAAAAAAAAAAAAAAAAAGATTCAGCTATTATGAGATGTACTGCTATAAAGATGTACACATAGATCATTGTAATATGATGTCTTTTGTGGGGGGTTACCGGGGATTGAACTCCAGTACTTGTGCTTCTAGTGTTACTTTTTTGCGGAATCTTCATAGTGATCTCCACAGTAGTTGTGCTAGTTTACGCTCCCACCGAAAATGCAGGAAGGTTCCTTTTTCCCCACAGCCTCCCCAGAATTTGTTATTTGATTCATGATGATAGCCATTCTTTCTGGCATTAGATGAAATCTCAGTGTTTTGTTTCATTTTGTTTATTGAGACAGAGCTTTGCTGTATAGTTCTGGCTGACCTTGAACTATGTAGCCCAGGCTGGCCTTGAACTTGCAGCAATCCTCCTGCCTCAGCCTCAGAGTACTGGGTTCACAGGCATGTACCCCTGCCCCTGTTGCTCAGTGTTACTTTCATCTGCATTTCTGTAAAATAGGCCCCACTTCTAAAATGTTCTACTGCCTCCCAATAGACCCTGGCTGGGGACCCGGCTTTAATTTACCACATGGATCTTTCCAGAACATTCCAGATCCAAACTATAGCTCAATAGTTCACTAGAAACTAGACTTTCCTCACTAACACGCTAATTTTATAAAGCTTAGTAGAAAGAGCTTCTGTTTACAGATACCAGAAAATTTCCATTCACTTTCTTCAATCTGATGGCCTCCCTGTATTTTTTCATCATTGAGAGGACACAGAAACCAATAAAGCCTTTACTATTGTCTATGAGAACTCATTTTCAACCTCACTGCATTTTCATCAAAATTTGAATAACCCAAAGGGTGAAGGCTGATGATGACTTTCCTGTTAACAACAGAGGTTGATATTTCTTAATTATTATTTGCTACATACTTTCCCCATCATTAATGAAAGAATACTCATTCTATACCGGGAAAACAACTACTGATATTTTCAGTTTCACAAATGACAAAACAGAGCCAGGCAGGGTGGTGAATGCCTATTATCCTGTACTCTGGGAGGCTGAGGGCGGAAGATCATGAGATCATCCTGGGCTACATTAATTAGAGACCAACTAGGATTACATACAAGATCCTTTGTCATAAATAAATAAATAAGGCAAAGGCAGACAGGTGTGCTGGTGCATAGCTATAATCCCAGCACTTGAGAGGCTAACAGCCATGAGTTCGAGGCCAGCCTGGACTACACAGCGAAACCGTCTCAAAAAAAAAAAAAAAAAAAAAAAAAACACACAACTTTGGGCTGAACATTGCCTAAATGGCGATAAAATTGCTGAAAAAGCGCCCTGGGAAAATTCCCCCAGAAAAAGGAAATCCCCATGAAAGTCGAGAACCTAGAGCACTGCAGGCACAGTCCAGGCGGCTTCTGGGGAAGAATGAAAGCATCGAAGCCCAAAATGAGGACAAACGGCTAAGAACTAGGGCTCTGTCTCAGTTGTCTAGCTAAATTGCCCAGGCTGGGCTCGAACTCGTGAACCTCCTGCCTCGGCCTCCCTATTGCTGAGGTGGCAGGTGTGCACCACCAAGACCGGCCTGGCCGTAAGCTCGGTTCAGAGATTTTCTTGTTGTAGTTTTGAGTTTTCCCCAAACTTCAGCCTCATGACCTTAGAAAAACAAAGCTAAACTGGCCAAGCGGGCTCTGGCCAGGGTTCCGCCCGCGAGGACCTCAGGGAGATCTGTTCCCCAGGACAGCGCTAAGCACGGGATCCGAGTAACTCTGAAACCGAGCGGCCGCGACCGCAACTCCCGGCCGGGATAATGACAACCTGTGTCTTTTTGGACAGCGGTTCAGAGAAGCGCGCGGGACAGCGGCTTTCACCCTAAACAAGTCACCAACGCCGACATTGGGCGGGAAAGCCCTAGCCGCCTGAAATCACTTCAGCCCATTGGTTAATCCTGCTGTCCTTCCTAACGTCTCACCTCCCTTTCTCGCGGGCGATGTTTTCATTGGCTCTTTTCCGCCCCCATTGGTCGGTCCTCCTGTTCGTCAAGCTCGGCGCGTGGAGAGAAGCCGAAAGCGCGTCAGTGTTGGGGTTGGAAACCCCACCTCTACGTGCCGTGTGCAAAAACAAACAGCCGTTAGAGAGGCGGTGCCGTGGGGGCGGGGTTCTAGCTAGAAGAAGACGCGCGATTGGGTAACCGAAATGGTTCAAATGAGTAAGGTGAGCAGCCATTGGTCGCGGCAGCGCGAGGCGGGCCTGGGGTATTGTCCGGCTCCCGCGGCGGCTGTCGGTGCTGCGAGCGGCGGGGTTCAAGAAGACGCGCGATTGGGTAACCGAAATGGTTCAAATGAGTAAGGTGAGCAGCCATTGGTCGCGGCAGCGCGAGGCGGGTCTGGGGTATTGTCCGGCTCCCGCGGCGTCTGTCGGTGCTCGGTGCT